ATATGCATATGCTATGACTTTCTAAAGATATTTTCTATTATTAATTTGGAAAATGTAGACAATATATTTTAAGTCATGTTTCATAGTGGTCAGTTTTGAGGAAATAACTGTTTAAAAGTAAGGATGGAGATACAACCTAGGTTTGAAATTCCAGGTCTACCTTACTAACTTTGACAAATTATTTAACCTATCTGTACCTTCTCTCTAAAACGGTAATAGTAGTAGCATCTCATTAGGCTACTGCATAATAATCTCTGTTTCACTAGACCCATGAGATCAAGCACTTTGTCCAGTTTATTCCTGTGGGTCCCCAGGTTACCTAGTACGGTCCCTGGCTTATGGTAACCAGTTACCATTGAGTCAATTCTGGCTAACAACAAGCCTTTAGAAATGCCCCATAGGGTTTCCAAGGCTATCATTTTTATGAAAGCAGACCACTACATCTTTCTTCCATGAAACAGCTGGTGGGTTTGAACTGCCTACCTTTTGGTTGGCAGCCAAGTGCTTAACCACTGCTCCACCAGGGACCCTTTGCCATAGGGCAAAGGCCTGATGATAAACATTTATTAAAGTTTAGCAAGATAATGTATGATATGCATTTAACAGAGTACCTGGAACAGAATAACAATAACGTAAAATTAGTTGCATTGTTTGCCTCAGCATTAGTAAAACTCTAAAATTATTCTTCACGCTTAAAAGATGACAAATTTTATTTTATAAATGTTTTTTGCAGAAGCCTTGATCAACCACTTAGCCATTTTGTGTTAGGCTCAGATTATATCCCTTACAGAGAAAGAATTTGGTCTCTGTCTATTAAGTCTGCCAACATAATTTCTGGGCTAATTTATGAGTATGAAGGAAAGAATGAAAATTAGTTTCTATTCCCAGAAATTGTTATGGTTGTTTTTAATCAAACTGAAGTGTAAATAACTTGTCTCTTTTTAATTTTCCCAACAAGGAATGTTCAAAACTTAGCTTTCTTTTCTGTAGTTTGATCTAATTATCAGAGAAAGCGTCGTTGCTGACCTGAATATGCTTGTTTGTACTGTCTGACATTAAATTCTTTCAGTTTTCCTGGATGACAGTTTAAAAAGCAAACATATGTGTTCATTTTTGCCATTTCACTTACCATATGGATATTTATAGACTTATTCATGAGTGCCATTGAATTTCAGAGCAAAGGGGATCTCAGAGACCATCTCATCCTCCACATCACTTCATGTTACAGATAAGGAAAGTGAATAAAAAGAGAAGTTAAGTATCCCAGCCAGTTAGTGAGATGTGAAACGGATTTCCTGACACTTGGCTGGTTTTGTGCTACCTCCCTGGTCTAAAAACCAAACCAATAGCAACCAAAAACTAACCATATGAAAAGATGCATCATAGTTGTATTATTTGTTTTCTCATTCAAGTTTTTGAAGACATTGTAGTACTAAAATTTTAGCTGAACTGTTAAAAAGTGCTGTATATAGCCTGTTCTGTTGAAATGAACATTATTAATTGGTCATGTCTTCCATGGTAGCAGGATTTATGGGCTCTATGAGAACATATATAAAACCAAAAAACAAAACAAAACAAAAAACCCAAACTCACTGCCATCAAGTGGAATCTGACTCATACCAACCCCTCCTTGGGTTTCTGAGGTGCTATCTCTATGGAAGTAGATTGCCAAGTCTTCCTTCTGAGGAGTGGCTGGTGGGTTTGAACCGCCAGCCTTCTGGGTAGCAGTCAAATGCCTTAAGCACTGCGCCACCAGAGCTCACTAGAACATATATAACTTTCAAAAATAGTCTTCCTTTTATTCAGGATAAATATTAGAATGTATTTATTGCTTATAGAACACTACCATGTAAAACTTTTCTCATATAGCTAGAATAAGTCAATTAAGGTAATGAAAATGTTATTCATATTTGAATGACTCCATTAGTATATTTCGATGTAATATTGATGTGGATCAAAGAAAAGGCAAACAGCATTTTCATTTGTTTGGAATTTTCCTCTAATATCCACCTATCCTTGCTCTTTATAATGTTAGCAATTTTCTACTCTACTTTTACTCTTATCAGGAGGTTACAAAGGACATTAAGTATGTGTTGCAAAACGTTTCTCAGTATTACCTACAATTATAAACACTCAAAAGATTAGTGAAATTCTTACTCTTATCAGGAGGTTACAAAGGACCTAAGTATGTGTTGCAGAACGTTTCTCAGTATTACCTACAACTATAAACTCTCAAAAGATTAGTGAAATTCTCCATCCTACTCTCTTCACACTACTCAGTACATAGTAATTTGCATGATCATTGTAATGTCTAATCATATCACTCCAACTCTCCCTTTTCTTATACAGCTGTTAAGTCACAACATTCCTGAGGCAGCGGAAATAATAGACACAGCTGTCATGGATTTTTTTTTTTTTTTTTTAAGTTTTAAGGAAATATAAAATACATATCTATTAATTTTGAAATACAGAAAACATATCACTATCACTACACTTACAGGTATCTCATATTTTCTGGGACATTAAACTTTCAGGCCTTCCTCCTAGGTAGAGAGACGTGAGGATGACTCAGTTGATGTGATGGTGCCGAGCCTCTGCTCAATGTCAGTCAGCAGAAGAGCCCTTGTCCAGAAGGGAGGTGCACTTCAGGGAGCCTGTTAGAGGGAGGCAGTAGAACCTTCCATTTATGCCTGTGCTAAGAAGTTAATTGTGGTTTTATTCAGTTACTAATTCTAATGCAGAATACAGACTTACTTCTGTTATTGTTTAAATATGTCGATCAAAGAGGTAAGTAACATCCTTAGATTTATGTTTTAATGTAAATATATGCAAGATATATGTGCCATTTAAATATTAAAATAATATATGCATATGTAGCATAAAGAAATTTGTTGCTTAGGAGGAAGAACCAGTTTCTAAGTTTAGAGTAGAAGAGTTAACTGACTGTCACTTTTTGTAATGACCTCCAGTAGCTTACAAGAACAGGCTCTTTTGTACATTTTCTTTTCCTTTTACATTTTAAGTTTATCTTAGTGCAATTCTAATCGTTCTCTTATTCTGCTTCCTTCACTCGGGGTCGTTGGTGAGTTAGTTCCATGTGTGTTGCAGTTAAGGTGTTGAGCTGGGGCTAATCTCTGTAAAATGCTAGCATTTGTTCTTCTTTTCCCCTATCATCAATCTTTCACACTCGTATCAAACCTCTAATGTATCAGCAGGTTTCCCAGAGCTACTGGTTAAAATTACCTTTGCTTTTGGTAAACTCTGAACCTTCAAGCCTCAGTGTTTTCAGCTGCCCCCTGTGGATTCCTCACTGCCAGTCACTTGCTTTATGTCCTGAAACCAGGAGCCTGTGCGGAGCCCCGTTTACTATTCCAGCCATGCCTGCCATCCTTCCTGAAGTGGAGACAGTGTACAAATATTTCCAATAATCAGTGCCATGTATGCAAGCTATAAATGCAAGTGGTTAGAACTCCCGAAGGGAGATAGCTTTTACTTGTATTTATCTTACCCAGCCACAATACAAATTCTTTAAACCTTGTTATTTCTAAAGGTTTCTTTGCTTTTCTGGTAGAAATTGAAATTTACCTCTCTGACTTCAAAGGAAATACTGTTAAATAATTTATTTCTGAAAGTTTCCTCATTTTCATATTTAAATACTTTATTTAATTTTCTTTTATTTTTGTGTTTGCATACTCTTTTTTCACTTCCTCATGTTCTTAAATACTTCCCTTCATCCATTCTGACTAGGACTATCTATTATTAGTAAAAATGGTTTCTGATAGATCAGATTTCTTGGACATGTGGTTGATGGTGTTTTCACTGTTAGTACAAACAGTTTGACTTCCATACACAACTATTAGGTTGTGACTTCATTCTTTTGGAAAACTGACTCCTGCCTTTGCTTTTAGTGTTGGTGTGACTCTTCGTGTTGCATCTAAGTAAAGATGCCTTTTCATTGTTGTCAATTACAATCTCATTAAGATTTACAGTAAATACCTTGGGAGTTCTTGAAAAATAATAGCAAAAGAAAAATGCCTTTTCTCTGTGAGCGGCAGTGTGTATTTTGGTTGCTCTTGCCTCAAGGAAGTAAAGTTCCTAAGTATTGTTCTCCAACTTTGATTTCGTATTGGCAGTGAGCCTTAGGCTAATGATGGTGAAGCAGTAGCCATCTAAGTTTGAAATATAAGATACTCACTTTGAAAGTCACTTAAATGTTTTTACTCTTCCAACTATAATGTATATTCCTTTGTTAATCTGAAAGTGCTTAGTAAATACTAGGTTTTTCTAGAGAAGTCATTTTTCAAAGAGAAAAAATGTTAGCATGTCTAAATATGAAAACAAAATAAAAAATGATCTAGAATATCTTACCCCTACCAACATCTCAGTAGTAGCAGTAACTCAAGACGTTTTTCCAGAGATGTCAGTGACCTTTCAGGTATGTTATTATCTAGCCCTATAATGCACAAAAATTTGTTATATTCTTTCTAAAGTGGGATACACTAAGGCACAGAAGGTTAACAGTTGCAACCTAATCTTAACAGCCAATAATATGTTGTAAGGTATTCTGTGCAAGTTAATAAGTCAGATTTATTGATACGTGCTCTACTAAATTATGATATATTAATATTTATTTTAGTACATTAAATTATTTAATTATTTGGAATATGTAAGCCATAATAATAATAAAGATAGTATCTATCAATCACTTGAGTAGGCCTTCATGTTAGAATTTCTTCCTTTCTTTATTTTTCCCCAACTCTATTTTCTGGAATGATCAAAAAGAAAGTTTAACCCACTACACCCTTTTGTAATGTAAGTGTTAATGTGTTGTTTAATTCCATAAGGATAGGGGAGTACAGAGGAAATCAAAAGTTTTAAATATCTTAAAAACAATTTTCTGATCCTAATGAATTATTTTGATACCATTTTTTGATGAAAAATTACCATAGCTGCATCTTTGTTTTTGTACTCCTTTTGTATTTGTTTCCTCCCCTCCCCAGTGGGTACGCCTTATTACATGTCTCCAGAGAGAATACATGAAAATGGATACAACTTCAAATCTGACATCTGGTCTCTTGGCTGTCTACTATATGAGGTAGGTAAAGTTGATAAATTCCATATATTAATGTATTTTTACTTAGTGCAATATATTTCCAGTATCCTTGTAGTATATATTTTTTTCTGGGTACTATTCAAGAATTTACTTTTTGATTATGAAGAATCAGTGCATTGAGTTAATACATACTTTTTATAGTGAAATTTTAGTCACTATACGTTCCTAACACATTTACTTCCTCTAATGTCGTCGTTATTGTTATGTGCCGTCGAGTCGGACCTGACTCATAGCGACCCCTCCTTGGGTTTCCAAGGCAGTATCCCTACGGAAGTAGATTGCCCCATCTTCCTTCCAACTTCCTCTAATATATACATACATACATATTTTTTTTTTTTTTTTTTAAGGAACTCTGGTAGCATAGTGCCTAAGGCACTTGACTGCTAACCAGAAAGCTAGTGGTTCAAACCCACCAAGCACTCCTCGGAAGGAAGGTTGGGCAATCTATTTTCGTAGTGATACTGCCTCGGAAACCCAAGGAGAGGTCGCTATGAGTCAGGTCTGACTCAATGGCACATAACAACAACAATATCACAAATATATTTTTAAGTTGTATGCTTTTGATGAAAATTTATTTGTTAAATGTTTCCTTTTATGTTAATGTAATGTTTTTCTGCATATCTTATTTATAAAGTTTACATTTAGATAACTATAAAATACATGACTATGCAGTGCAAAAGGGATATGATTAATGGAATAGGTTCACAATATGAAGACACAGTAAATACCTTTTCAGTATTTTGCTTCATTTTCACACAGGTGTAATTCAACTTGAAAGATAGTATGTAAACAGAAAACTCTTCTAGGGTTATCACTTTATGTAGTTTTAATGAGTAACAATGTATATTGATAAACCTAGGTGATATATTCACTCTCCTCTTTACTTGCGATAATGTATAAAGATTAGATGGACTCGTGTAGGTAGATCTCTAGTGAATATTGTCATGCAGTAATTTGGATGAATAGAGGAAAGCATATTACAAACACATTTTAGATCCATGTGATAGGGTAATGTGATCAGAGAAATCTCAATTTAGTGACTTCTATGAATTATTTTTAATTGAATAGTAGTTTTTCTAGAAATACAAACTTTGAATCAAAGCTATTCAGATATAGTCTGTAACTGAGTACTCTTTTACTAATGTAAAATGAAGGAAAATAATACATGGAATCATTTTTATGTGAAATCATTTTAAATGTGTACACAGGAGATCTAAAGTGGCTAGATAGAGACCAATGTAACAGTAAAGCTATTTTCTTACTCTAAATTTAAAGTTTCTTGTCCTTCTGACTTAAATGAAGTATATGATGAAGTTCTCTATTAGAACGAACTCACTTTTATTTGGAAGAAGAGCATCAAGAAATGTTTTTTTGAAGTGTATCATGTTTTTTTTTATACTTTTACTGGTTACAGATTCAACTATCCTTAACTTAAGGAACCTGAGAAGATTTTTTTTTCTACTACTAAAAATAGTAATTATTTTATTTGAAAAAAAAATGTTTAGATGTTATTAAATAAACTAGGATTGTATTTTTATATGCACAAGAGATTTATGCTTACTCATATTTTTTTATGATTTGGTATAATGTTGAAAAGAACTGATTTGATTATTTTAAACAGTTATGTTTAAGTTAGTTACTTTGTACATTTTTAATTTTTTTTTTTTTAAATATCTTTTTAGGTAGCCTTAGTTAGATTCCTTCAGACTAGAGTCTAATATTATAAAACCAATATTTTTCTTCCTTTAAACATCTAAAATTAAACAGCAAATTGGTTTTCACTAATGAGATTAAATTTAACAATGAAAAGTCCTGTCAAGGGACAAAGTGTTTTGGGGAAGTTGCCATAATTCATTTAGGGACAGCATACACCCTTGTAAAAATTGAAATAATTCTTCACATTTTGAATTTGCCTTTGAGAGGTAATATCTTATTTCATATATACTTAAAATAAAATGATTAAAAAATAAAAATAATTTCTTTGGATACCCCTACATTCATGTGTATGTTTTACAGATGATTTTTAGTTAAAGTATTTATTTTGTTATTTATTAGTTTTCAATTCAGTGCATTTTCTTGATTTCTCCATCTAAGCCATTTGGAAGAGCTAGACTTTTTCTAAAGATTTAATATACCTTTATGTTCTATCTCCTTTCAGTTATGTTTTAATATAGAAATATCCAGTAATTTAGCTTTAAAAAAAAAAAAAAAAAACTGGCTGTAACATTACTTAGACATTTTCTACTGTATCCCAGTAAGAATTTACTGTTAACAATTGAAGGCATAGGAAGCCTTTTTTGAAATTGTATTTTAAACTCAGAAAATTAGACTTTCAAATATTCTTCAAACCTAAAAAAAAAAAAACTAGCAGTACAGTTTTAATTGATATGCAACAAAGTAGACTTTACTAATTAAAATCAAGATGCTGTGCTTTGGCTACACGGACCTTTACATGGAAAAGTAGGTTTTACACATTTCCTTTATTGTTCAGCGCAGCAATTGCATCCTTACAGGGTTGTAGGTTGGTGGCTTACAGTTCAAAAAAAAAGAGAGCTGCCACCAGCCCCGAAGACAGACAGTGGGCTCTCGTCCCTCCGACACCCCCAGAATACTAATCAGGAAAGTCAGACCCTGGAGGTCAGGGAGCAAGTCAATCATTCTAGCGATCGTCTCAGTGTGGAGGATCAAATTAGCCTGAAAAATTCAGCTGCTGGGAGGAGAGGGCGAGCAGCTGTCAGGGGCAGCATCGAGATGCACTAATGAACCAGATGAATAGTGCAAAAGCTTGAAAATAAAAACAGGACAGTTGACATTTTTCATCTGTCAAAACAGGAGATGCATGAAAATATACTATTCCCGTTTAACTCCTTAGGGGACGTTCAGGTTTTTTTTTAACACTGCAGTATTGAGACGAAAGTACTGTAATGAACTCCTAGCATATGATAATGAATATATGTACATTTACATAGGGTTTTTGCAAACATTTTACATAGTTTAGGTATACAGACTATTTTTTAAGAAGACGTTTTTAAGATCCTATTTTATCAGAAAGTATCTCAGCATTTTAACCGAGAAACATGATTTCTATTGTAGTTCTTCTAGAAATTTCCTTTCAGGTGGAGTGATTTATATGTTTAGGGACATTCAGATTGTTTTTTACTTTTTTCTCTTCATGTGAAACAACTATTCCTAAGGCTGTTTTATATAGGCTTATTAGGTTTTCTATAAAACATAGGCTAGGTAACAATTTGTGGAACCACTTTCTGGGTTTGACTGCCAAACCCATCTCCGCCACGTTAAGGCTGTGAAAGAGTTAAAGCTGTGTCTGGAGCACAGAAGACAGATGAGAGCCATTTTCAGCTTGTCCTGTCCCCACTGAAGCTCACTGAGTAGCACAGCATGGACTAGCGTGTTTCACACACACTCTGCCTGTCTGGGGAATATACACATTGTCCTTCCAAAATCAAACTTATTAGCACATGTAGAAAAGGGTGACTGACTTTGGGGCAGCCTTGCACTCCGTGTTGTATTCTTGCTGCTGCGGTTCAAAGATTTAGATGGTTCTGAACAGGATGTGAACATTTTAAATTGAATTTTTTAGTTTGTAACCCTGCTTACCACAGTACTTACTTGCAGTTTAAATGTCAAGTTAGAACATTGTCTCAAAATAAATTTAAATTCAATAATGTCTTTTTTAAAGTTGCTCATTGTTTGAGTCGTGTCTTGCTGCCTAAGAAATCTCATTTGGATTCCCTGAAGTAGCAGCTATGACTCATCATAGAGTTTCTGAACATATTTGGTGTTTTTGACACATTATTAAAAGACAAGAAGTTCAAATTCATTGTGAACTCTTTGGGCATCAGTTATATTTAAATTGAGATGACATTTCTTTTTTTCTAAGAATAAAGTTTCCTTGTAGAAACTATTATGCAAGATAAAATGCAATGGATTCCTTAAATTATTACAGGTTATAATGCAGTTTCAACTTCAGTTCCATGTTTGCTATATTTTGATTATTACATGCCTGAGCTATGCCTTGTCACACATCTGTTAGCCATGAGATACACTAGTTGTTCTTATGATACTGTATTTATAAAATAGTTTTAAGTTACTGTATATTCTTTTCCTTAATATTGTTATACATTGCATATATATATATATATAAAAGAAATAATTGGATGCCAGCCATTTCTCTGTCAGGGAATTTTAAATGTTGCCCCCCCCAAAAAAATTGCCACATATTGAAGTAAGACTTTAAAACTCTCTGAATGATTCTCAGAAAGATATATTAATAAAAATAAAATAGCCCAGATAACTTTATTTAAGTATTTATGATTACTTTTTACCCCAGTGTAATATACTTGATGAAATCACCTTTAAAGTTACCATGTAACTATATCAGTTTCATTGGGAGCATTTTACAGATGGCTGCACTACAGAGTCCTTTCTACGGTGACAAAATGAATTTATACTCACTGTGTAAGAAGATAGAACAGTGTGATTACCCACCTCTTCCTTCAGATCACTATTCAGAGGAAGTAAGTCATTTTTCAGTTCATGTCTTCATGTGTTGTTCATTTTGTGATTTGCATTTTATTAAGAAATTTTATTTCCTCTCAAAATATAAAAATGGGTATTATAGGTAGCAAAAGCAGCACTTTTCATTCTGTTTTTGCGCTCTTGGAGACTGGCTGTTTAAAGAGTTGACTCTGCAATTCACAATGTGGAGTGGAACACAACACAGCATGTGGTGTGAAATTGGCCACTTCCTAGGTGTGATAAGAATAGTAGATGGCTTTACAGCATACTGAACATAGCAAAGGGCAGAATTAATGCTCAGATCCAGGCTCTAGTTAATCAGCTCATCTGGTGGTCCCTCTTAATAGGGCTTACTCTCATTCTCACAGTCTCAGACCAGCCAACAATTTTAACTTCCTTATTTTTTTGGCAGAACTTCCCTCTGGACCATCTTTTCCAAAAATTGAAACCTACATCTCTTAGCCAAGTTTTTTCCCAGCCTTATCCCTTTTGCTTTACCCTTTGTCCTTTGGTCATACCTGTCCTGTCACCACTTCACTGCTGCAGTCAAATTCCTTTAGGGAAGCATTTTGAGGTTATCATCGTAGACATGCTAAAAAAGTATGTTGGAAGGGTTGAAATTGTTAGACTTTACCTTTTTAAGATCTGAGTCTGAATCCTCACTTGCTTTGGTGACCCACTGGAATGAGTTGCTTTGGCTCTGCCAAACATCCAGCTTTTCACTGAATGAAACATCTTTTGTATCAGCCTAAATACATCATGATTTTACCATGATTTAAGAAGGAGATATGCAAAAAGCACTGTCTCTCAGGTCAGTGAAATTGTGTTCACATAGGTCTTTTTGGAAAGCTCATCAGGGATCTACCCAGAGCATACATGGTCTTGAGTTAGGACATCTCACCTTCTCAAGAGCAACAGCTTTTTTTTGCCCAAGGAAAATGGGAAGGAACAAATAAAAAGTATGAAATAATTATAATGTTGATTTATTAGTTAGTCTTGTTAATATTTCTATTGTGAAAGAAATGGCAGTCAGTTTTATATAAGGAAAACAGAGTCAGTGTAACTTGAATTATAAATACTTCTAAAGAATTGCTACCATATGTTAACCATTTGTGGTCCTAGAATGCACTAAGAACCTTTTCTTCTAGGTAGTTTTGATTCCGATAACCAGTGATGCCTGTTTTTTTGTTTAATAGCATTTGTATTCAGGTAATTAGAATAAACTCTTACAAGGCAGTGATAATAATTTAGAAGCATTATCTGTATTTTATATTAATGCTATTATGTTAGCCATTTTTAATTACTATTTTGGGTAGGATATAAATATGGCATTTCACAAAACCAACTTCAGAACGGTAGGCCTGGAAATACAGTAGGGTGTGAACAATAATGCAAAATGATAGGAAGAATGTCAGGGGCCGTTCTTTGTTGTGTCATTCATGCTGTCTTCTTTTTTCCATGAAGCGCATGAATATTTCACATATCTGCATCCTCATCCCCTATTCTTCTTGACTAATTTTCAGACTGTCTGAATTTGCATTTCACATGGTAGCTGATTAGGAGATGCCGAGTGCAGCAGTGAAGCCTCAGCAGGCGGTTACCATGGTGACCTTCAGCAGGATTTTAATGATGATACCACTAGTGGTTCGTTGAAGTCGGCCTGCCTGCAGGGCTACTTCACTGCAGCTAAGTGTGAAGTTGGATATGCGGATTCTCAGCCAAGGGGCAAATATCAAAGTCTGGCCCAGATAGAAGGTCTTAGAGTTGGGAAAGGAAAATAGATTCCACTTTTTACTTCACTCTGTATAGTTCCCAGTTTCGAAAAGAGATATAAAGCAAAACGTGCTATATTTTGTACTTTCCAAAAAAGACAGTACAATTCCTCATATTGGTAAAAACTCTGCTGTTAACGCCCTAATAAAACAGGAAGCTATACTATCTAGGTAAACATGGAAGTAATTCTTACTAAAGAAAGGAGATGTAAAAAAATATTCCGACTCTACAATAATGTTACTTTAATCTGTTGAGTTATAAAGAAGAGTTCTCAGAACTGAGCTTTGAAATGCAGATGTGCTAGTAAATATTTTCATTCCTTAAGTAGGAACTCAGTTTGTTTATAAAATTATTATTCAGAATTTATGGTAGGAAAAAAAAAAAATCAGATTTAGTGCTGCCATACTTGAATACCTTAAATATTTCTTTCTTTATTATAAATATATGTTTAAATATTTCTTTAGATCTTTTAAAAATCTAAATTGCCATTTAACTCATTAGCATGGTAGGGGATAGGATTCAATAAAATTAAAGTACAGGTAAAGTTTTTAGACAGTGAACCTTAAGTAAGAGAGCAGTTCAAGGCTAATTTTATAGCTAAAAGTTAATTAAATGCTATAGCTGTTGACAAATAAAAATTTTAAGGAAATTAGTTTCCTAATGAAAATGTATTTGGGAGCTTACCACTTTGATTTAGATACTGCTGAGTCTTTAGGACAACTGTCCCAAGAGGATTTGAAGGGAACATTTCATGAGGATCATAGCTATGCCAGCCAACCAGCCTCAGTTGGTAAGAATCTTTAGGGGGTACCCTATGAGATTTATAGCTAGACATAGTTATTCCATCTAGAAAACCTCATTTTGAGATTTGGAAGGTTTTTTATATTATATTCTTAAACATAGATCCAGTTAAGCATAAAAAAACAAAAATGAGAAATAGCATTTGGAAAAATAGGCCAGTGTGGCACATCTTCCTTTCTGAATTATGCTGTGTGTGCATATCATTAGGGTTCCAGATAAATGATTAGAGTTCAAGATTGAAATACCTTTGCACAGATATTAGGAAATGTATGTTTTGTGACTTGATACAATATTTTTATTTATGACAGTGTTTTAGGGAGGAGTATTAAGTATTTTTTCTTCATCCATGGATCAATGGAGAATTACTGTACTTACCAAAAAACAAAAAACTTGGATTAAAAACAAATATTTTCCTTAGATCTCTTAAGTTGCATTAAGTACTGTTGGTGATTATGAAATTAATACCAGTAAAGCGAACATCATTGAACATTTACTGTTTGCAATGAATTATGATGCCGAAGGCTCCTGGTAATCTGACCTGGTTTATCTCTGAAGACTTAGTGATCACGTTCCACTCTTTTTCTTTCCTTTTCTCTACCAAGCCATGTTCTACTGGAAGTTCCCAGAATTTTCATTCCTTTGTAGATGCCATTGTCTCTTTATTCTTTTCCTTTAAAACAGCTTGGACATCATCTTCTTCCTAAAGTTTTCTCTGAATCTCCTTTCTTCTCTCCAGAAGTCTTTCTCCTTTGGCAGTCAATCTCATTGTGTATAATTGCTTTTTTAGTCTTGTGGCTGCCTCTCCACGGTGCAAAGTTTCTGCTCCTGAAGACTAGTAACTACTTTTTATCTGTGTGTCTTGGCACATTAAAAAGGTTTCAGTAAGTGATTGACTGAGAGGAGTGAGGGACTGAAGGAATGAGATTAAAGGAATAATGGAAAAAAAGAATGAGTGAGCCAATAAATGACAGTTGAATGAATAAGTGAAACTCCTCCAAAGAACTCAAAAGGCAGGACAGAAGATGTAATTCTTTCTTTTTATTAATATTACCGCCTGCATGATTTTTCCTTCTTACTTTATAGACACTTGCCTGCTAACCAGACGGCTGGCGGTTCAAACCCACCAGCCACTCCTCGGAAGGAAGGTTGGGCAATCCTACTTCCGTAGTGATACTGCCTCGAAACCCAAGGAGGGGTCGCTATGAGTCGGGTTTGACTCGACGGCACATAACAACAACAACAACTTTATAAGCAAACAACTTCATTTCTAAAATAACTAAAATAGATCCCCCACCTTGGTTTCAATATTTAATTTCTTTAGAGAAACTGGAATGATGATCAAAATTATACCTTATCACTATTGTTCACTCAATAATCTCAGAAGACTTGATATAAGTAAAAAAAAGTGAATAATTATATTAATAATATTTTTTTAATTGTGATTCACATGAAAGTTCACAGAGCAAATCCACTTTCCATATAGCAGTTCACATACACTTTTTCTCATGACATTGACTACAATTTACCACAGTGCAACAGCTCCCCTCCCACTTCCTCCCAATAGTTACCTCTTCCCTGTGTCCTTCCCTCCATGCACCCCTGCCTCCTGAGCTGTCTCCTTGTGCCTAAACAGCCCTTCTTTCTCCCATGATTGTTCTCTCCAAGGAGTGTATCTACCTTGGATAAATGTTCAACTCATATGCCTGTCTTTTGCTTGGCTGGAAGCCGCATGTGTGGGTTCAGTTCCAGACCTGAAGGGCAGCTAGGGGCCATAGTCCCAGTGATTCCACTAGGCTCTATCAGACCAGCAAACCTGCCCCCCCTTTTTTCCCCAAATGATTTTGAGTTTTGTTCCACATTGTTCTCCCTCTCTATCCAGGATCTCCTGCATAAATCCTCCTCCGAGTGGTTGACAGTGGTAACTGGGCACCATCTAGTTCTTTTGATCTCATAGTTGTATAGACTGCGGATCGCGTGGTGTACCAGTCACTAGGACTAATTGTGTTCCATGAATCTTTGGTTTTCTTCATTCTTCTTTGCTCTGGATGAGAAGAGACCCATCACTGCATCTAGATGGCTGCTTGCAAGCTTTTAAGATCCCAGTCGCTACTTGCCAAAGTAGGATGTGGAACAATATTTTGTGTGGTATGTTATGCCAATTGAGCTTGATATCCCCTGCGACTATGGTCTCGAGCCCACAGGTTCAACTACTCACTCTCTCTGGGTAGCTGGCTATGACCAAGAGATGACTACAACCTTGTCCCTTGTCAGCTCCACTATATACCTGGGAATTCCTACAGATCATACAAATACACTTGCAGAACCATTGTTTGTCAACCCTTGTCTTGGTTGGGTACACTCCCTGCTACATTGACATACATACTAGTTCAGCCTGTTCACCCATCTATCCACCCGTATACCCGTG